GACCAGCCTCACCCTCCCCTTTGCTCTGCAGTACGTGAAGAAGCCGGGCCAGTACAGATATGAGGCGCCAAGCCCTGAGCTCTGCAAGCGGATACGATCCGTCAGGTCAGTGCAGAAATGGCCTCGGATGGCCGTCCCTTATTCCTCACATTCCCTGCAGCAGATCCCCAAAATCTGCCTTGTCCTTTCTCACCCGGCTTCCCCTGGTCTGGTTTGGCAGGATCTCGAAGGCGATGCTGCAGTGGGCGTGCTGGATACTCACGGACAGGCAGGTGGACTCCTGAGCCCAGCCTACGTTTCATTCCTTCATGGATTCAGCAAAAACAGTTAAGGACTGCCTGGGAAGAGCAGCTGGGGGAGGAATGGGGGGGACACACCAGGACTCCTGACCCCAAGGGGACCACTGGGTGGGTTGGCCTGACTGCAGAGACCCTGGCTCCGGCGATGTTGGGGATATGACCTGTTTGAGGCCAGCACCCTTGGCACTGAGAGGGGGGGAAAAAGCATCCGTTCAGGGATGCCTGAGCTGGCATCCCTCTCCAATCTTTCCCTCTCCATCCTTTCTAAATGCCCTGGTCTGGCGAGCGGGGACAAGAAATGACCTGATGCCACCGTAGGACAAGCGGCAGCAACGGCAGAGGCCACATGACCTGATCCCTGCTCTGAAGGCAGCACGGGAGTTTGGAATTTTTGTTTTTATTGATTAGTTTAGGTAGGGTCCTGCACTGTTCGTTACAAAAAAATATCCCGCAGGGTTATGCTGTAGAAGTTAAAAATAAAAGTTGTATATTTTTTAAATACTCAGCTCTTATATTAAAAAAGGAAAGAAAAAAGAAAAAAAAAAAAAAGCGTGTTGCTGCTTCGTCGTAAACATCCATGTAAGGAATGCGTTTGGTCCGGAGCGGAGGGCGACACAGGAGGAAGCCGCTTGGGCACTGGGGTAACGCCGGTGCCGTCGGGAAAGCTGTGGGGACAGCGAGGCTGGAGCTCGCTGCGGAGCTGCGTGCTGAAATGCGACGGGCTGTGGTCCTGCTGATGGAAACCTGCGTCTTGGGGGGGCTGGAGAGAGCGGTACCCCGCGGGGCGAGGAGCTGGAGTGGCCAAAGGGTAATGCCTGCTGGCTGCCAGCACCGCCGCTGCCTAAAAATCAGCTCTCCTCTGCGGCTGGCGGAGGCCGTCTGGGGAAGGTGATGCCGCTTGGCACATTCCAAGGGCTCTGGCACGGTCCCTGGGCATCCCTGCCCTCCTGGGCGATGCTGGCCTGGTCCCCGCAGCAGAAGATGGGTGATGCCATCGTCAGG